GATTTTCATTATTTATATTTTCATTAAATTGTTCATGATTTTCATCTTCACCCAATTCAATAGAACACTCTTCTACTTGTACTACTTTAGTAAAAAAAAATTGTCAATGACACCCTTTTGAGATTCTATTAACTCTTCTGTCCGTTATCTTTTTTTTCCTCTTATCATTACCAAATAAATATTTTCTAGGCAACATTCTATCAAACAAAACCAATAATAAATAAATAAGTATAAAATAGAACAAAAACACCTGATTATTGAAGCAATTGAACAAAAGACTCCGTACGCTCAATTTGCACTCCAAACAAATGTCATTTCAAGTAATCAAATTTGAAAAATACAAAACAATTGAAACAAAAAAAAAATTATGATTTAGGAATGAAAAAGTATAAAATTAAAAAGTTAGATAAGAAATAACCTTAGCATACTAGCATTTTGATGAAATCATGAAATGATGAACTCGTAGCTCTCGTCGAACGGGTCGAAGCAATTAGAACAATTAAAAGAACCAATTCAACAAGACAAAAACCAATCAATGAATTAGATATTTTTCCCCCAATTTTATAATTTTTTATTGAAAGAAATTGTACAAATGAAAACTTAATAGAAAGAAAAGATTTGGATGAATAAAGTAGAATTTACAAAGATAATTATATATAATTAGATAAATTCCCGTTGAAAATTGAAGGATAAAATTACCGTTTATCATAATCATGTAGGGGAAGGGATTAGTCTGACCAAAAATTGAATTGAGATACATTTTGAAAAATTAAATTACCGAGAAAAGGGGATATAATTGAATTTATGGCATTTTTTTTTGTTAATCAAATTTTCTTGGGAAAGTGTATTTTGAGAGAAAAATTAGGGAGGAACAAGGTTCAATAGTGAATAATATGGTGATTGAATTTCTGAAACTCAATGTTTTGTTGTATACGCTTCTCTCTTATTTTTCCTTTTTTTACACATAATTATTTTAGGGCCTTTTATTAAACTGAAGCTGGGCTTTTGGTTCGGGGGCCCTAGGCAGTCGCCCCACCTGTCCTGGCTTTGCTACGACCCTGTTTCGTCGCCCATCAAAACTTTATTTTGACGCCCAAAATACTTTTTGGTGTAGAGAAAGGGTTTAATCCCGATGATGCTTTGAAGTCAGACTGGAGGCAATTTTTGGGCTTAGATGATGTTGTTGAATCTGGAAAAGTTTGTGAAAGTAAGAAAGGAAAACTGAAGAGACTAAAAAAAAGACATATGTCAATTTTAACACTTATTTTGAGTTGTTTCAAAAATATAGAGATGTGAGTTATCGATTTAAGAGACTTTTTTTTGTATCCCATTTTTTTGGTTCCAATGGTGATAAGTCTCAAACTTTAACATTATGAAGTTTTTGGAAAATGTTCGTTTTATAAAGACTTACAACTAGGCTAGTGAAAATAACTCTATGTGAATCAATATCAGAATTTCAAGCTTTTATTTTAAAGAGAAAAACAGATAAGAAAAGGAAAGTCATATCAAACCAAATAAATGGTTGTATTATTGCTTTTGTTATTGTCTTACAATATAATGCAATATTAATTGAGTTTTAAAATAACGTGATAATATAGCTATTCAAATGAGAAGAAGAAAAGTCAACTAATAAGATCCAAATTTATATAGATACATAATTTGTTAAATTATAAATAATTTTTACATAATTTGTTTCATGTTGATTGAATCTACACAACACTTATATATTGATTATAGCATAATTTACATTTTCTGATATTGTTTTATTGAATATATCATGTTGTATTTGAGTTAAATTCAAAAACAAAGAAATTATCAGTGTGCTCCTCTAGCGGTGACTGCACACCTCAAGTAAACCTTAAGCTCCTTTTACTCAATAATCTAAAAAAGTTTTCGCCATGTAGCTGTAAAAAGGTTCTTGCGAGATTATTATGAACTTTTAACATAAACATATCCAACATCTTACCCATTTAGACCAACAATGTAATACCCCTAATTTTTTGGAAATAGTTCCTTAATTATTTTAGTATTTTATTTAATTGTTTGAATTTGGAGCCAAAATAAATTTAAAATTTTGCGCCAAATTTATTCAAATAATTATATATTTCCATATTTCTAAATTAAATTATGATCTTGGTCGGTCCATATTTTATTAATTAATGTTGTACGTCGTTTTCAACTTAAATATATTATTTTCCGAATTTTATCTTAATATTGTATAGTCGTATTTTAATGATAAACTTGATTTAATTATCAAATCTAACTATTTTCCTAATTAATTTGTGATTTTCTTAGTAAATATTTATTAAAAAAAGTCAGATTTTTATAAAAATTTGTAGCTGGCCGTAAAACTTGGAAAAAGCTTAAAAATTATTTTTAATTTTGTGATTTCTATCTTATCCTTTACTTAACCGTTAAACCCTCTTGCTTCATCCTCTTATTTTTATTCATATCTTCCTTCTTCCAATCCTACAATCAAATGAACTTTTATCTAAATTTTTAACTAATTTTAATACCCAACTATTAATATAGACTTAATTTGATTCAAATACGATAATAAACCCCAAAACTTATCATATTTTCTAGTAATCATCTCATACCTTAATTAAGCTCTATCCTTCTACACTCTAAACCCTATAAATAGACCCTCAATTCTTCACAAAATTCCTCACACCAAAAGCTGAACTTTCGACTCCTCTTAAGCCTTTATGCCTTTCTATATTTCTCTTTTTGTCTTTCCCACACTCGTGCAACAACAACACCGAAACAACAAATTAAACTAGCTACTACCAACAACTGCTACTGTGCTGCCATCACTACCACCACCCTCTACCGCCTAACTGTCACCACACCAGCCCACCGTGAGCTGTTGCTTGAAGGTGCGGTAGCATCTTCTTTCTTTCATCTACCTTTGCCGCAAGTTTGTTTAAGAAAAAAATGATACTACTAACCCACTATATATGGTTATTATTACTTTTAATATTATACTAATGTTATTTTATTAAGAAAGCTAAAGTTAACGTCACGGTACACTTACAATACCAATAGCACTAGTTTCATATATTAACATAATTCAAGATTTAATATTTAAGTGGTTCATGCACAAATAGAGTATTATTTATAGTTTTGTGTTTATTTAGTTAACCTTATATTAATTAATGTTATATTATTTGTGTAGGAGGAGTCCCTCGATCGTGGTCAAGTTTAGTGGTCGTACCTTAATTGTTCTCATGATCAAGGTACGTATAGGTGACTAGGTCCTTGATACAATTTTTGAATACATGTTTTGGTAAATGTTTATTTTAATGATTGTTTGAATAAATGTTGCGTATGAATATTTAGGCTAATGATTTTCATGTTGAGTTGATATATATAACTTTACGATTTAAAGGTTTGATCTTTAAACGTGTTGATTGATTTAATAAAAGTTGTTTAATTTATAAATCACTTGATTGAATAAATTTAAAATTTTGCAGCTTGTTATGAGCCTGAGTATTTAATATTTTAATTGTCACCATGAGCTTTGTATGATTTGGTCTTTCCTCGAGTATAGTTTAACTTACTTGGGGGGTGTGCACACTTAGGTGAGAAAAATTGGTTTGGAAATATATCTTAAAAATTGAAAAGTTTATAAATTGGAAATCTATTGGTTTTAGAAAGCTTCTAATTGATAGACATTACTACCCTTGGGAGGTTTAATTTTGAAAAGTGACTTGTGGCGAGTTTAAATTAAAGTGATTATTTTGAAAGCATGATTGCCTAATAAAGTATATACATACCTTGCATTTGCATTTATATGTACTTAGCGTTTTTGTTAATCTGTTTTCCTTTTTGTTTTTGGTTCTCCCTATTTACCATTATTGGTAAGCAGTCTTGATTGAAGGTGTGGAGTTATTCGTGAACATGCTTGAGTCAGGATTGCATCACATAGTTAGGAGTTAAATTTATTAATGAGTGAACAAGTTTAATTGGAGTATTTTGAAACAATTATTGTTGTTATTTATGTTATTAATAAAAGTCAGTTATATTTCGTTGCTATTTTTTAGTAACAAAATAAGCCTACGTTTTTACATGGCGGAAATATGCCTAAATCTATTTGTACGGTATTTGTATACATATAATTATGGTATTTATGTGGAGGGAGATTTTGGGATGTTACAAACAATCCAATATGATTGTTAGGTATCATGGAGTGGGAGAACAATAAATCTTTCATCATGTCACTGTATAATAGTTTAAGTGACATGGTTGATTTGAATTCAAATCTTAGAATTCTATGAATGACTAAACTACAAAGTTGTTTAATGAAATTAAGGTCGGCGATGACATGGACTTGTAGAATGCGATTCATCTCCAATGCAACAAGTGATGAGGTAATTATCATTTATCTATTTATTTAGGAAAATTTGTAAAAAAAACCTTTTAAAAACATCATTTTATGGAAAAAAAACCTTTTAAAATCTTTTTTGTTAAAAAAAACCCACGACCATTTTTTTGCGAGATGAAACCTATTTCCTTGATTATCCTCTAATTAACTTAATTAGACTCTAATTTCCTCTCATTTCTTCAACCCCACCTAATTACTTAATAATTAGATTTAATTTATACATAAAAATATCACCCCAACCACCAACCAACCACCCTTTCCTCTTCTTCCTCCCTTTCCCCTCCAGAGTTATGACGGACACCATTTTTTTGAGTCATGAATTAATGGAGAAAATGAACATTTCTAAATCTGGTTCCAAGTGGCTAGCCGCGATCAAAATTGATATGAGTAAAGCTTATGACCAAATTCATTGGAGCTTTCTTTTACAAGTCTTGAAGGCATATGGGTTACCAGCTCGCTGGTTGCAAATGATACAACAATGCCTCTCCCAGTCTCTTATAAGTCTTTAATCAATGGTACGATGTCGGACGCCTTTAAACCGCAATGTGGTCTTCGCCAAGGGGACCCTCTCTCGCCGTACCTCTTCCTTTTCTGCATGGATATTTTTTCATGAATGTTACATCTAGGCCAAGATTTGAAGTTGTTTCAGGAAATCAAGCTTTCAAGGAATAATCCTATTATTTCCCATCTATTCTTCGCTGATGATGCTCTTGTCTTCTTCTGTGCTTCCTCTGCTGCGTGTTCTAACATTGTCCAAATTATACAATGGTTTACTAAAATTTCGGGAGAGGAACTCAACCTTCCAAAATCTCTGCTTAAGTTCAACCCGAATATTTGTATCACAACTCAAGAGGACTTCAAATTGATTTTTTGGATGACACAAGTTGAGGTTTTTGATCATCATTTGGGGGCTCCTATCGACTTCGTCGGCAAAAAGAGGGATCACTTCCAATTCATCATCGTCAAGATTATTGGAAGGATTAATTGCATGAATACTATCAAGCTTTCCCAATCGCAGAAGTTAATAATTATTAACTTTATTCTTGTATTCATGGCATCTCATGTTCTTTCCTGCTATGAGCTTCCACTTTCTGTAACAGGTAAAATTGATTCCTTACTAATGCGCTTTTTTTAGGCGCATTCTTATTCTAAAGGTATGCATTGGGTCAATAAGGATATTATGCATCTCCCTCGTGGCATGGGCGATTTGGGAGTCCGATGCTTGTCCTCTTTAAATAAGGCGTTTTTAATGAAATAGATTTGGAGGATAGTTACAAATCCGCAACTCCTTATTTCGAAGTTTTCACTGCGCGCACTTCCTTTCTTTTCAATAACTCTGACACTAGGCCTAGATTCTCGAGTCGTTATTCTTATCGCCTTCGTGGGTTACTTAGGGCAGATACTCTATTACAATAGAGTTGTAATTGGAAAATAGGTAATGGCCGCTTAACTCTTGTTGGCTCAACTAAATGGGTTAATGGTAGCATCCCTGAATTCGAACCGGGAACTCTACTATGCACGCCAGAGAATTGTACTGTCAGTTATTTTATCCATCTACAGACCCAAGGGTGGGACACTAAGAAACTCTCTCACTGGTTTCTGCCCTCGGATGCTTCGGCTATCCTTGCTATGGAATTACAAGATACAACACAGGAAGACTTTCGAAACTGGACTAGTACCCCTTTAGGGAGGTACTCGATGAAGACAGGTTATGCAATGCTTCATCATCAACTTCCTGGAGCTCTTGCAGCTTCAAGTGTAGGCTCTTTTAGGAAAATTCTTTGGTCTTTGTAGGTACAACCTAATGGAAGTTGTTTTTATGGAAATTGCTTCGTCATGCTCTTCCTGTTAAGGTGGAGCTTCATTATAGAGGGGTTTCGGTTCAAGATGTGTTTTGTGATCTTTGTAGTACTGAACCGGAGGATTTACAACATCTCTTTAGGATGTGCTGTAATGCAAGATCAGTTATGAGGGGTGGATGCCTTAACATTCACTCAGAATTTAATGGAGACATTTCTCTCTCAGATTGGATCCAAGATTATATACAAATTTTCATTAGTCATGATGGGCCTTGTAGTACTCACTTGGGCAACTTTGTCGGTACCCTTTTGAGTCTTTGGTTGTCGGAATTCTAGAATCTGCGGCGATTCTACTGCTTCTCGCTCCTTTGCTTCTCAGTTTACGGAGGTCATGACTTCTCATACAATATTCCTCGACCAGGACGCTTCTGGTACCCTTTCTCCTGTTACGGGGGGTCAAGAGGGTACCTTGCCTCCACCTGGGTTTTTCGCTTCTCATCTTGGTTTGCTCAACCAAGGGAATGCTTTGCTATCAATACAAATTGATGGTTCTTGGTTCTAGATTATCACCATGCTGGGATGGGGTGGTGCTTGGATAATGTGGACCCGTTGGATTACCGGATCGCTGGCGGAGGTAACTTCGGCGTTTTCTCTTCAGCCTTACATGCAAAGGCAATGGCGTGCTTGTATGGATTGCAATGGGCTTCTGATAGTGGGTTTCAGTGCCTCATAGTCTTTACTGATTCCTATAATCTTGTTTCGCTTCTTCGATGGATGGTCAAGGTAACATTGATTATCTTTGGCTCATCAGTAAGATTAAGCGGCTTGGCTCAACCTTTCAATATTGCCGTGTTCATAAAGCAGATCGTCAATGTGTTCATCGTGCTCATCAAATTGCTGGAGAAGCGGCTTTTAATTTTATTTGCTTTAGTACTAATTTGTAGTTTGTTTTTATCCTTTCTAAAAAAAAAAGTTAAAAAAAATGGGAAATTCTCAATGGTGACACTAAACTTTTTAATTTTCTCAGTGGTAAATTGCAAAAATTCTTATTATTCTTGTTAAACTTTAATTTAAATTATTATAATTTTCAATGGTGAACTTAATGAAGCAATTTAGTTAATATTAAACCTTGGTTAACATCTTTTTAGTTTAAATCATTAACTACGGTTAGTTTTATTATTTTTTTAATAATTAACTTAAATTTAAAAATTAAAAAAAAAAAACACCCTACACTCCCCACCGAACCAGCAACCCAACCCCTCCCTTTGTCGGCGCCATCACCACCCAGACCCCCTCCCCTTTTCTGGCGCCAGCAACCAGCCGTTCCCCTCCCCCTTCGATTTCCACCTCTCTTCCCTTGAAATCACCTTGAACCTCACCTCCCCCACCCCCGAAACCACTTGGAAACCTCCCTCACCCCCAAAAACCCTCGGCGACCTCTCCTCCACCCCCGAAAACCCCGGTCACCCAGCCCACCACTCTTGAAAAACCCTAATCGGCCCTCCTACATCGTCACAAACCCTCGACGACCTCTCCACCACCCCCGAAAACCCTAGCCACCCAACCCACCACCCTCGAAAAACCCTAATCGACCATTTCCTCACCCACAATTAGGATTTTTCGAGGGGTGGTGGCTGGGTGGATGGGGTTTTCGAGGGTGGGGGAGGTGGGTTTCGGGGAATAGGGGAGAGAAGGGTTTCGTGGGGTGGGGTGGGTTTGGGGGAGGGGGATGGGCTTAGCGCCGGCGCCGGTACCGACGTGGGGGAGGGAGGCTGGGCGCCGGCCGACCTGATGGTGGGGGAGTGGGGAGGGTGGTTGTTGGGGGAGGAGGTTTTTTTTTTTTTTTTTTTTTAATTTTATTAGTTTATTTATATAATATAATTAATTAAATATTAAAAAATATATAAAATCTTAACCATAGTTAATTATTTATTAAAAAAGTCATTATTAATGTCATTAGTAATAATTATAAATAGTTTAGATTTACCAAAGATAATAATTTTTTTTTTACAATTCAATACTGAGAAAACTAAAAATTATAGTGTTACCATTGAAAATTTCCGAAAAGAAATTAAGCTAACCTACCTAAAACATAACTCTGTCATTTTGTCCTCTTCAGTCTTTCATTTTCCCTTTGAAGCGCACTCCACATTCTCCATTGAGGGGCCTTCTGATATTTGTATCTTCCATTGAAGCAGCTTCCGAGGTAAGTTGTTAGTTTCTTTTTGCAATCATCAAATCTCAACTTCACAATCTTGGCATTGTCGTTAATTTACTTCTCAGTATACTCAATTTAGGGTTCTTCTAAACCCGATTATTGAACTATTTTTTATAATTACTAAACTCGATTTTGTTGCTAGAGAAGAAATTTATGAGCTTAATTTGATATTTGTCCCAGTAACATAGGTTGTGTTCATACCTATATTTGATTAATTGATTGCGAAAAATTAGAATTGTTTGGAATTAGGATCAATTATCTGATGATTTTTATGTGGGTCTTGAGCTTAGTTGGCAATTTTGTATGTGTAAATAATATTGTTCATGAAATTTGGGTAAAGTTTCAAACTTGGAATAAACCCATTTATGGTTTTATTCTGAGGATTGTATGTGTAAATAATATTATTCATGAAATTCGGGAAAATATTCGAACTTGGAGTAAACCCATTTATGGTTTTATTATGAGGATTGTATGTGTATATAATATTATTCATGAAATTCGGGTAAATTTTCGAACTTGGAGTAAACCCATTTATGGTTTTATTCTGAGGATTGTATATGTAAATAATATTATTCATGAAATTCGGGTTGATTTTCAAATTTGGAGTAAACCCATTTATGGTTTTATAATGAGGATATTGAATGTGTTCAGATTTGGTGAAATTACAAATTCTTCTGATTGTTGTTCTTTCTGAAAATGAAGGTGAGAGTAGAATCAGGTTCAGATGGCATATTATCAATGTGGGAGAAATATATTGCGTCGAATTGGCCAAGATGCTGGCGTTAAGAGATCAGATGGTTATCTCCCATCCTTGTTTTTCACAGGTCAAGGAGTCCGATATAGGAAATTGGAAGTTATTCTTACAACGGTTTGTAGAGAACCCTACAAGAGATGTGTTTATTTATGTTATGGTAGCTGCAATGGTTGACATTTAGTTTATTAACTTAAATTATGCAGAACATGGATAAGCTCGGGAAAGCTGGTGAGACTGTGAAGGTTGCTCCCGGTTACTTCCGGAATTATCTTATGCCTAAGCTACTTGCAGTGCCAAACATTGACAAGTTTGCCTATCTGGTTAAGGAGCAGAGGAAGGTAATTTGCTAACTTTAATGTATTATTTGTTTAATACTTCGTAGTTATTTGCACTGATGGTTGTGCTCTGCTGAAATGTACTCTATGTAAAGTTGGATTCCCAATTATTTTATCAGTCTAATTTTGTGAAACAATTCCTGTGAAAATCAGATTTACCAACCTCTAGAAGAAGAAGAAGTTAAGGTGGTGAAAGAAAGTAAGCAGGATCTGATGAAAGAGTACATTGCTGCAGCAAAACGGCTGGATAATGGAACAGTGGTTAGTGTTTGTATATGTAATTTTATCAAAGGGGCATATTCTCCATATTTCACTATGTTGTGTTTAGCTGAGCTTGAGTGATGGCATTTATTTTTTTTCCACTCGACAGTTTTATTTTTCCTTCTTTAAGTTATTTAAAGAAAATGCATGCATGAAACAAAAAACACTGAATTTGTCTTCATATTCTACTTCAGCAAAAACAATGATGAGTATAACACAACAAAATTTGTTTGGAGGGAATTGTTATAGCACCTGACTTTGATTTTGTCTTCAGCACCTTATGAAAATAAGTTAAGGAAGCAATATCTTGTGCTAAACCCTAATTAACCAAGTTTTGAAATCACACTAGATGTGTATCAGCATTTAAATTGTTCTTGCACATTAGAATTTGATCAAAATCAAGTTTGCCTCATATTTTGATCAAATTATGTCATGTTGTTATGTTCAAATACAAGGTAGGAAAGTATACTTTGAAATATTCAGTTAACCAGAAGTACATATTCATAGCATCCAGGATATGAAAAGAGGAACGTGTATAATTGAATTCAGGTTGGTGAGGAAACCTGTCCGGAAGACTTTACTTTGGAAGGGGTCCTAAGTCATGGTCCGGTGAAATTTGTTCATGGCATTGATAGTAGTATGAAACCTAACCTTGTTTGGGTTAATGCATGCATCACCGGGTTAAATGGGCCTGCAAATGAGCATCACTGGTCTCTGATTTTGGCACACATCACGTTGGCTGGATTAGGTAGGCTGGCAGCACGGCTTGGTTGCTTATTAGACCATCTTCAATGGTGAGACTCAACTTTGAGTATTGAAATACAAAATGAGTTGTTTTTACCTCCAATGGTGCTACCCAACCCACTCTTCAAGTTAGCAACTCATGTGAAGTCTAATTTCCCAATGGTGAGACTTTGTAAAGTATACTAATATCACTTTTAATTTATGGCCCACCAAATCATATTATAAGTTTTTTTTAGAAAAAAAAAATAAAACTAAAACTTAAATAAATTACAAAACATATTATAATATTGATAAGGGCCCACACTTTTTGTCAAATGAGACTCAAAGTTGAGTATCTAAACTTAGCAACTTTCTTTTGGAGTTGGAGTTGCTCAGTTTAGATACCAACTAATTGGTATCCTTTGCAAAAAATACTCTCTCTCCTAAAGAAACTCCCTCAAGTCTCACCATTGGAGATGGTCTTATGACAACTGTTATTTCTTGGACCCCAACAGGCTTAAGGTTGGGAATTCACAGGAGAAAACACAATAACCTGAATGCATCAATAGAAGAAGTAAAGTGTACCATATAGGTAGGCAAACTCAGCCTTCCCTGTGTAATGCTGAAATGGTCATGATTCTCATGAAAAAAGTTATAGTACCAACTACACTCTTGTACAAGCCTCTTCGTCTTCTCCATACCATTGCATCTGCAATTTACCCGTTTAACCATCTTTTAAAAAAAATAAATAAAATTATTGGAAGTTCCTTTGATAATTTGAACTTTAAATAACTATGACTCTGTAGTCTGAAACTGTAGTTTGCCTTATTGCCCCGATATAGTTCGAATAGATGGGTGCTGGTAAATCATTAAACCAGAAATGTCATTGAAGTTTTGCCCCTCTCTTGGTAATACCTTTTTTTGATGTTTCATTGATGTAAAATGTGGGTGCTACAAGTGAAGTTTGTTAAAGAAGGTGAGTATTGGCGATGATTTCAGGGTAGGCTTACGTTTTATTCAACCTATCCAGAAATATGTGCACAAGTTCACTAGTGAATGGAAGTCCAGATGTTTCCATTTACGGTCCTTCTTGACTAGGAATAGTGAGGTACCCACCATCACAAAGTTGGTGAGAAGTTTACATGAAGGAAAGATTCCCTTACGTGGGAGAAAACATGTAGGAGATCTTCCTGAGGACACGGGCTTGGCTCACCTCGACACCCTCATATGCAGGAAATTGCATACATGAAAAAAAAAAACAGAGTTTATCTTATTTTTCTGAGAGAGGGGGGGATGGGGTGGGAGGTGGAAGGAACCTAGCTTGGTTCTAAGAACGGTCAAAAGTCTCCTGTAAAGGGATGGCAGTCTGCATACTCAGTACAATGTCAATTGTTTGAGTACCAACTACCAAGTGTATCCTTAATTAGAAAGTGTTTACAGGCCCACGGAGGGGTTTGCAAAATATTTTGATAGAGCAACTGATCTGCAGTACTCTTAGCTTGCTTTGCCAGGCTATCTGCTACTGAATTAGATCAAGATATTTAATCCTGATTCCTGGTTGGTGATCCAGGCACTCTGCGAATTGTAATATTGTTAGCCTTCTTTTATTGTAGTTAGAATCTGGTATGTCCTTGACTGCTTCGGAACAATTAGAAGAGATTATGCATTGGTCCCATTGACCCTTTATATTTCTATTCTATTTAATTCAGCTTCCAATGGGAGAGTTGCAATATAGCTTATGAATGAACCCTTGGACCAGCAATTCAGAGGAGTAGGTGAGTAGCAAAAAGAAGTATCCACATTTACTGTAATGATGTTTGGCTGAGGGTAGAACCAGATGGATGGGCCGATGGGTTGGGCTTTATGTCTACAGGGTGGTTTTCTTCAGTGAAGATTTATTCTGTAGCAGCCTAATAAGAAGATTTGAACTAAGAGTCAAAGGTGATGTTGAGGCTGTTGACTTTATTGAATGCCAGGCATTCCAACTATTCCAAATTGACTAGAGAAAGAAGGAGAAAGTTCCAGGGGTATGGGGTAGAATGGGAGATATAGGTAGTTTGGTTCTCCCAATTGGTACTGATCCTGGTCGAAAAAGGGTTAGAGACAGATACATTGATCTTATCCCAACTCAACTTGGATCTAATATTGGTTTTAAGAATATGATTCATGACTCAACAGAATTTGTGCAGTAAGGGCAGAGTTTTGTCTTCTTAACTTCAGCTTGCTGTTTCATGTCCCCCCCCCCCCCCTATTATCATATATGTATGTGTCTATCATTTGTGAAGCTGTGAAGGTTTGAACATAGAAGTGATTGTGATTATTCTGGAAGTTAATTTATTTTTTTGTAGGTTTTAAGAAGATATTTTAAGGTTGACAATGAGTTGCGTGAACCTGTGACAAAAGACGAGATTATTGCTGAGGTATGATTTCACTCTTTTCTTAATACTTCACTCATATCTGGATGCAATTCCATCATTGTTGCATTGAACTTGATTGATAGTTGGATACTGATAACTGAATAATGTATTGAATCTTCCAATCTGGAACTGTTACATGCACACAACAGGAGACAATTTATCTAAAGTTGACATAACTCAATTTTTCCAGGTGGCAAGGCAACTTTCTGTTCAAGTCGAACCTGAAAATTTGTATATGCCTAATCCTTTGTCATCACTGGGGGGGCATGAGATACCTCTCCGCCTGCCAAAGTCCATCCCAATGCCCCAGGGGAAGCTTATGTGGAGTCTCAAAGTCAAAATTAGAAGAAAGTGATCCAATCTCCCATGCCTAGCTTAGATCCAATTGAGGCAACTATACTTTGTTTAGAGACTCTATTCTGCAAGTTTACTTAAGCTATGGGATTTCGTTCGTCTCGTTGTAAGTTACGCCATCTAAGAAGTCAGATTTTGGATGGAATTTTCTTCCTTTTTTGAGCCTTCGTTTTTAGTAGATGGCCATGAAGCTTGTATTCATTAATAATTTTCCTGTCGCGCTTTTAGTATCAAAAGGCTTGATGGCTTTGTTGAATAA